CGGCGGGATCGGCCGTTTCGAGTCATCTTGATTCGCGCTGTCCGTATACTGAACTTAACTCGAGATATAGGACAGCTACAGAGCTGGTAAGCACAGCTAATCGATTCAGAATGATCAGGCGCGTTCGCCTGTTGAATCTAGAGCTCTGAACTCGCTCTGCTAGCCGAGCTAGGTCCACAAACCTTTTCGTATTATTCGAGTCATCTTGACAGGCGCTCTCGGTTTTCTGTACTTAATTCGAGCTATAGGACAGCTACAATGCTGAAACTTACAGAAACCGATTCAGAACCATCAGTCGCGTTTCTCTGTTGAATCCCGAGCTCTGAACTCGGTCTGCTGCCCGATCGAGAATCGCGAAACTGTTCGTATTGTTCGAGTCATCTTGAGAGGTGTTGTTGGTTTTCTGCACTTAACTCGGGCTGTAGGGGGGCTACAGTGCTGGTGGTGACAGCAATCGATTCGGAGAGATCAGGCGCGTCCGCCTGTGGAATCCAGAGCTCGGAACTCGGTCTGCTGCCCGAACTCGGTCCGCGAAACTGTTCGTATTGTTCGAGTCATGCTGAAAGATGCTGTCGGCTTTCTGCACTTAACTCGGGCTGTAGGGGGGCTGCAGGGCGGGTAATCACAGGAATCGATTCGGAGAGATCAGACGCATTCAGAGGTCTGAAGTCGGTCTGATACTCGAGCTGGGTTTGTCAAACTATTCGTTTTGTTCGAGTCATCTTGAGAGGTGCTGTCGATTGACGCACGTGACTCGAGCTGTAGGAGAGCTACAGAGCTCGTACAGAAGACGATCCAGAAGCATCGGGGGGCGTTCGGCTGTTGCATCGAGAGGTCTGAAATCGCTTGGGCTGAACAACTATACGTTCTCTGCATTTTTTCGACATTATATATTGTCAGGAAGCTCTACGAGTCCCCCGGCGGTAAGAAAGGTTGACGGTTTACCGCCGGCGCCCAGTTGACAATTCATTTCGAGAAAGCAGTTTTTTCGCACCTGTAGTGGGTTATGGCGCGTCTGCCAGTAACATTTTCAGGTCCGTAGCTGCAGTATTTCTATCCAAACACTTGGCGGAACCGACTATCTTTCGAGTCATCTTTCAGACGGATTCGCGATTCTCTGTACTTACGTCGAGATTCAGGAGAGTTGCAGAGCTGATACTAACAGAAAACCGATGAATAATCTTCAGGCGCGTTCGTCTGTTGCATCTAGAGGTCTGAACTCGGTCTGCTATTCGAGCCAGATCTGTACAGCTTGATCAGTGATATTGGTTTTCTCTATTTAACTCAAGATTCAGAGGAGCTGAGCTGGTGCGCACATGAACACTCTGTCTTTCTGCTTGTGTCTGCCTGAATGTCCGTGTGTCTGTGTGTCTGTGTTTGGGTCTGTCTGTCTGTTTGTTTGTGTGTTCCTGTGCCTCTGTTTCAATCTTCCTGGCATTCGTTGTGTCTTTGTCTATGTCTGTCTGTGTCTGTGGGTCCGTGTGGCAGTGTGTCTGTGTGTCTGTGTTTGTGTATGTCAATCTCTCAGAGAGCTCTCCCACACATAAATCAGAAACCATATCTTTCTAGCGTGTGTCTGCGAGTCCAATTGTCAGGTTCGTAGATGCAATATTACTATCAGGGGAACCGACCTTGGATAAGAACTGAAAAACGCATTTTTCGATCTTTCTTCTTCGCGCTTGAGAAGCTTTTGCCGTGTGTTCCGAGCAGCGCCGCGCGAGAAAAGAGCTCTACGAGGCTCCCGGCGGTTATCTAATTGACGGTTCACCGCCGGATCCCAGTTGGCCCACCCGGCTCGGGCGGACAAAGTGGTAACTTTTGGTCGTTTTGGCTAAGATTCGAAAGATATTTTACCATTTATTTCGAGAGAGCAGATTTTCACGCCGAGCGTTGGCATATAAACTTTTTCCCCAGAGCAGCTCAGCTCTCGCGAGGGATTTCTACTATGGGTTCACTTCCGGGAACCGATTTCGTATTAACATCGAAAAATAGAAAAATAAATATTGCAGAAAATCTTCTCGAAAGTTCTCTGCTTCAATTCTGAGCGCTCTAGTGCGTGCCAGGAGCTCTACGAGGTTCCTGGCACGGCTGACATGGTTGGCCAGAACCAAAAATAGTTACGTTACGTTCCATACCTCACTTATTGAACATGCGAGTAAAACAAAACTAGACGGCCTCCGTGGATTCTTCGACGGAGGTCGCTCTGTGGAGGGATGTGCTGCAGGATGGTGTATAGATTTGTGTGTACACGGGACGTGGCAGTTGGTGGCGGAGGAAGCTGTCTCGCTTGATGCCTCTGCTTCTGTCATGTTTTGTGAGATGATTGCAGCACAACGGCTCTGTATGGCCGTGGAGCACATTTTGGGTAGCATCTTTCATCCAAGCAGCTGACTCATTTCATCTTGCTTGGAGCTCTCCAACACCTTTACATTTTCACATGTTGTATTGCATCCTTTTCCTTGTTCCTGCATCCTATTCCGTTGCCTATGCCTCAGTGGCTCGGCAGTGTGATGATAAGAGTTGCCCTCTCCAGCTACCCTGTGCTCCGTTTGGGAGTCTTAGGGCTCAGCTGTCACAGCTGTCCGCGCCCTGACTCAAACTCAAAAACCAGGTTGAGGCGGCTCTTCACCGTGCGATGAGGACGCTGATTCGGATGCGGCCTTCCACGCATGGGATAAAATGGCCACCCAGCGAGTGAGGGCAAATTTCTATTTGAAGAAGGCTGCTCTGCACCGTTTGTGTGAGGCTTTGCACCGTGATGGGGGGGGGGACGCGGACATCCAGAGAACCTGTGGGCTGTGTCGGTTGGACAAGATAAGGATGCACCGTATTGCAGGGTGGTGCTTCGGACATTGGCGAGCAGCTCTCTTATTTACATTAGATGCTCGTGCACCGTATTGCACGAAGCTATGTTCATACCTCTCTTATTGTAAATGCGAGTACAACAAAAACTAGACGGCCTCCGTGGATTCTTCGACGGAGGGCGCTCTGTGGAGGGATGTGCCTCCATTGACGGCTCTGTATGGCCGTGGAACACGTTTTGGGTAGCCTCTTTCTTCTCTAACCTGTTCCTACACCTTTGCAATTTCACATGTCGTGCTGCATCCTTTTCCTTGCTCCTGCATCCTATTCCGATGCCTATGCCTCAGTGGCTCGGCAGTGTGATGATAACAGCTGTCCGTGCCCTGACTCAAACTCAAAAAACCAGGTTGACGGTTTACCGCCGGCGCCAGTTCCGGCGCGGGGTGGAGCTAGTTGGTCGATCCGACCAGAAGAGACAAAGTGGTGACTTTGGGTCGGTTTTCCAAAAAGATATTTGACAATTCATTTTGAGACAGCAGATTTTTCGCACCTGTAGTGGGTTATGCATGCCACTCAAATTCTCAGGTCCGTAGGTGCAGTATTTCTATCAAAACACTTGGAGGAACCGGCTGTATTCCGAGTCATCTTGACACGCGTTCACGGTTTTCTGTACTTAACTCGAGATTTCGGAGAGCTACAGAGCTGATGCTTCCAGAAACTGATTCAGAATCATCAGGCGCGTTCGTCTGTTGCATCCAGAGGTCTGAACTCGGTCTGCTACTCGAGCTAGGTCCGTAACACTTTTTTTATTATTCGAATCATTTTCACCAGTGATGTCGGTTTTCTGTATTCAACTCAAGATTTAGAGGAGCTACAGAGCTGGTGCGCACATAAACCGATTTAGTATCACCAGGCGCGTTCGTCTGTTGCATCGAGAGGCCTGAACTCGGTCTGTTACTCGAGCTAGGTCCACGACACTGTTCGTATTTCTCAAATTCTCTTTATAGGTGCTGTGGGTTTTCTGTACTTAACTCGAGCTGTAGGTGAGCTAGCGAGCTGGTGCGCACAGAAACCGATTCAGAATTATCAGGGGCGCTCGGCTGAAGCATCTGAGCTCTGAACAGAGTCTGCTACTCGAGCTAGGTCCGCAAAACTATTTTCGCACATGTAGTGGGTTATGCCGCGTCCGCCAGTGAAATTCTCAGGTCCGTAGCTGCAATATTACTATCAAAACACTTGGATGAACCAAACCAGCGCGCGCGGGTGCAGGCGCGGGCGCGTGCTGGGCGTGGGCGGGGCTCGGGCGCTGGCGCGGGCGCAGGCGCGCGGACGCGGGTGCGGGCTCGACGCGGGCTGGCGCGGCTGCGGGGCCGCGCGCATGCTCGGGCGGGCGGGCTCCGGCTCGGGCTCGGGCTCGGACTCCAGTTCGGGCTTGGGCTCGGGCTCGGTCTGGGACTCCTGCTCGGGCTCGGCCTGGGCCTTGGGCTCGGGGGCTCGCGCTCGGCCTCCGGCGCGGGTTCAGGACCGAGCGCGGGCGCTGGCGCGTCGGGCTCGGGCTCGAGCTCGGCCTGGTCCGACGGCTCGGGCTCGGGCTCGGGCCCGCGCTCGGGCTCGGTCTCGGGCTTAGGCGCAGGCTCAGGCCGGGGCGCAGGCTAGGGCTTCGGCTCGGGCTGGCTCGGGCTCGGGCTCGGGCTTCGGCTCGGGCTCGGGCTCCGGCTCGAGCCCGCGTTCAGGCATGGGCTCGGGCTGGGCTGGAGCTCGGGCTCGGGCTGGGGCTCGGGCTCGTGCTCGTGCTCGGGCTCAGGCTCGGGGCTGGGTTCGCGCTCGGGCCCTGGGCGCGGGCGCGGGCGGGCTCGGGCTCAGGTCCGGCTTGGGCTCGGGCTCGGGCGCCCGAGTCCGAGCCCGAGACCAAGCCCGAGCCCGGGCCCGAGCCCGAGCCCGAGCCCGAGCCTGGGCGCCAGCCCAAGCCCGAGCCCGAGTCCGAGCCCGAGCCGGAGCCCGAGGCCGAGGCCGAGCCCGAGTCCGAGCCCGAGCCGGATCCGGAACCCGAGCCCGAGCCCGAGCCCGAACTTAAGCCCAACCCCGAGCTCGACCCCCTCGTCGACCCTGTGACGTCCGAAGCTGGCCCCTGGGACCCCGACGAGCTCGGCGCGGTCCCTTCGGAGTTCGCCTGGCGGCCCAGTACTGGCTTCCCCGAGGTTCCGAAGGCCATGATCATGGGACGTCCTTGGAAGTGTTGGAGGGCTGGGGGGTACAGGTTTGAGGAGCCGATCGGGAACAAGGAAGGTAGGGCTGTCATCAAGGGTATGAGCCTAAAACTTCGGGACCCCAGCCAGCACCACAAGAGACACCTCGTCCTTGTCGACAACCTCGGTGTAGCCCTTTGTTTCTCAAGAGGGCGCGCGGCGTCCTTCGGGCTTCTGCTGTTGGTCCGCCGTCTGGCTGCCCTCTCGATTGCGACGGGTGCATGGGTGGCGCTCCGCTGGATCCCGAGCGAGTGCAATCCTGCCGACGAGCCGTCCCGCCTCTTCGAGAAGCTCAGGGAGGCGCGGGCTGCGCTGTATGAAGCGCCTCCGGCGGGAGCAGAGCTTGGTGGCCTGTCAAGCAGCCGCCGCGCCATCGACTTCCTTCGGAGCCGCTGGAACCCGTCAGGGGGAAAAGCGCGCAGGCCGCCCCACCAGCGTCCCCGCCCGACGGCAGGGCGCCACCAGGCGGAGGCCCGCCGCGGCCCCCTCCCCTGCCGCGCGGCCGCTGCCCCCGAGTCTTGGGCGGCGGGCGCAGGACGGAGGGCTACGTGCCTGCGAGCTCGCGACGGTCGGCACCAAGGGCTCGGCCGCCTACCAGTACTTCGAGAGCCGTTTCCTCGAGTGGCAGCGGCGCCGAGGCAGGGCCACCGACAACCACGACGAGATCGAGGTGAACCTGTTAGACTACCTCGACGGGCTCCTGGTCGACAACGTGAAGCTCACCCACGCCGAGAAGACGGTGTACGGCCTGCTGTACAGAACCCTCCCTGGGAAAATACGGGACTACCCTCGGCTCCAACGGGCTCTCAAGGGGTACCGAACGCGACTCCCACCTACCAGCAGGATGCCGCTGCCGATCGAGGTGAAGTCGGGCATCTGCGCCCTTCTGCTCCACGACGGTGAGCGGTCCACGGCCCTCTACGTTGAGGCCGTGTTCTCGGGGTCCTTCCGTCCTGGGGAGCCCCTCCGTGCGAAGGTGGGCGATCGGGTGAAGCCAGGGGTGTCAGAGGAGGCTGCGTTGAAGTGTTGGTCCCTGATCGTGGCGCCTGAAGAACGTCTGCAGCCGTCAAAAACCCAGACCTTCGACGACACCGTCATCTTCGACTACCCCGAGTGGTTGGGCGAGGTGCTGGGTCCCTGGGCTGCGCACGCAGCGGGCGACCGTGAGCTTTTTCCGCTGGAGGCCGTTAGGGTCGCCCGCCTTTTCCAAGCTGCCGCCGCCAGACTGGGCGTCGAAGCGTCCTTGTATCAGCTGCGCCACGGCGGCGCCTCGGACGATCTGCTGAAGAGGCGCCGCACTTTGAGTGAGATTCCGTCGCGTGTCAGAGTTGCATGTCTTGATACGGTTCGTCGATACGCTAAACCAGGCAAGATTCAGCAAGCTCTCAATCGGTTGCAGCCAGCTAGCCGTCAGTATTGTGAATGCGCTCGCTGTAACTTGAAAGGCCTCTTCTGTGGCTCTGTCCGCCCGATGCGGATCTGATGTGCCACTCTCGCTTTCTTCGTTCTGTTTGCCGCCCTGTCCCCGCCACCACCCGTGCACATCCCTGTTGTGGGTCTTGCTATGGGAGTGCAATACAGTTCGAATATTTTGGCCTGACCTGTGTGTGCACGATGTTTCGCGACACGCATTTTGCATTTCAGACTGAGCTGGCTGTGTCCAACGCCCCGTTGCTAGGAACGCATTCAGCTGTCTCCGACACCCCCTGGACGCCCCTCCAGGAATCACATGAATGCTTGCTGGTGGTTGATTCCTCTGAGGGTTGAGCGTCGTGAGGGTGTGTTTCTGCTCTGCAGTCAATTCTGGATCCCTCTACCCACCCTTTAACGTATGGGGAGTGCAATTCAGTTCGAATATTTTGGCTTGACCTGTGTGTGCACGATGTTTCGCGACACGCATTTTGAATATCAGACTGAGCTGGCTGTGTCCAACACCCCGTTGCTTGGAAAACATTCAGCTGTCTCCGACACCCCCGCCAGACGCCCCTCCAGGAGTCAAATTGTTGACGCATCTTTACCCAGATATTACTACTGAACTATGTGAACTGTCGGTGAGACGTCCTGCGTGTGTGTGTGTGTGTGTGTGTTGCGCAACAGGGTCATCTTTCGAGCAAATTCCTTGGGAGTTTTCGCTTGGAGGGTGACAGGCGTGCTGGAAGGAGAAGACGACCTTCGTCCTATTTCCGTCGGCTCGCTACTTATGAGATGCTGGTTGGCGGCATTATTCAGGTCAGTTCCAGTGGGCTAACCAGTGGGCTTGTAAGAAAGGCGTTCCCACCCCGCGGGCTATTTCGCGGTGGCTCGCTGACGCCACCAACGCTGAAGCGGGGGCCGAGCTGGGCCTATCTCGTGCATTCGACCATGCCAGTCAGAACATATCAGGAAAAGGCATGTTTGGAATGCTGCGGGCGACCCTGTACCCCTGGTGGAGCACTTGGGGTGATATGTCGACCGACGGACGTGGGGCTCCCCACTGCTCCACGCAAGGGTTTGGGCAAAGTGTTCGCAGCTATCAGTGCTCTGGGATCGATTTCTGCTTCTTCGTCGGTACGAAAAAGGCTGGCCATTTCTTACGTCAGGCTGCTGTGGCTGTGGGCGTCGCCGATCGTCGCCCCTGTGCCATGTAGTATCCCGCGGCTCCTGCACAACGCAGTCGTGGAAGCAAAGACGAAGTGGTGGTGGTGCCATGGTCGATGGTGGTGTCGACGTGTTCAGCTACATCTGGCGCTTGGAGCGGCCCTCCAAGCCATTGACAAAATTGCCAATCCAAAGTTGCTGTAGAGTGAGTTTATGGATTACTCTCTACAAAGGTAGGAGACGGTTTTGGGTATCTCCTTCATCCAGTTCTAAGAGTCTCGTGGTTGCTTGCTGGAAATCTCGCCCACGGATGACCATCGAGTGCTTCGAGCCGTCCAGTCAGTCTGCTTCGAGGGGAGCCATCGTTTGCTGACTCGTTCTGCTCAGGATAAGTGGATCACGCTCTCAGGCTCATTGCTCGCATTCTCTGTCTCCAGACAGCCACTCGTGCCAGGCGTGACGCTGAATCCGCTGAGGAGGTGGATGCGGAGGTCTTGTCATGTAAGAAGTCTTTCTGAATGGAGATCCTCTCTACCAGACGGCGTCAGACTGCGACTTGGGATTTACCTATCAGGAGCTGAGTCGTCTGAGACGCGAAGGCAGACTGGCCGCCTGTGTCCCCATTGGACGCCTCTGGCCCTCCTTCAGGCACCCGTGGGCCGAGTGCCCGTACTATGCGAGTGAGAGGCGAGTCATTACCTACCAGTTCGCCCTGAGCGACCTTTCCTCCTGGACCAGCGCCCCGAAAGTCACGGCCAAGAGTGGGTGGGCTTGTCTCACTCAGGGCCCAACGCTTCAAGCACGTGCTACAATGATGCAGGCATCTTGTGATATGGCCTTGAAGATCATGCAGTTCAGTCCTCTTGAGCGCCTTCACCCTCTGGATTAAGGCTACCTTCGTGGCCCTGCATCTCAGTGCAATAATGTCCACTCGCCCCCTTCTTCTTATGTTCTGTGAACGTGTTGACCTTCGTAGAAGGGTTGCGAAGATCCAACCAAGTTTATTGGCATCTTGTGATAAATCTTGCATGCGACACCACTCAAGGAACATGTATGCACACATCCCGAGAGCAACACTCGTGCTGACGCTCAGACCCATGGGGCCCCAGAGGGCCATGAATATGCATGTGAGATTTTTTCTTCATTTATTTATTATTATTATTATTATTTTTTGGTTGTTGTTTTTTTTTTTCTTCTTCTTCTTCCAACTGCCTACGTGATGCAGAGATTCCTGTTGCCAGTCGGGGGCCTGGGATGGTGGCGTATCGGTGCTTGGAGTCGGTTGCGTCGCATGGACTTGACATCGAAGTGAAATCGCGTGACGATTCACAGAGTAGGTGGATTAATTTATATACTGACGCCTGGTGTCTCCCCGATCTTTAGTGCGCTTCGCGCACATGTAGCGCTGCGCGCTCGCCTGTTTGTGCAGTTCTGATAATATGAGCTCGTGTGCCTGGCTGCTGATTTTTTCGACCGGGCCCACTGGACCTGCTGAAGACGTGTCCGAGCCAAGCCGAGCCTCGAGCCTCTTCCCTGACAGTGCCGGAGGGCGCCGCCGGACGTTGGGCAGCGCGGGCGAACGTCGCAGGCTTCATGTTTCCCTGACAGGGAATTTTGAAAGAACTCGGGCAGCAGGAGAGAGAGAGGGGCGGCAGGAGGAAGAATCGGTGGTGCCTCGCGCGGCTGCCGACGAAGTTGCGATTGTCGTTCAGATCCCTTGAGGGCTTGTCGACGCCTCGACAGAGGACGCCCCCCCTGGTTTCGTCTGCGAAGCGAATGCGCGACGCGGCGTCGTTAGGAAGTGCGAGCGCAGGGCATTCGTGAACGGCATTCGTGAACGTCGACGTTGAAGCGATGGAGAGGCAGGCCGAGAAGTTTCCGAATAATGGCGTGCCGCCAGAGATCGTCGGGCGCGACGTTGAACAGGCTTACGTGCAGATGAACGCGACGACTTGCGAAGAGGCGAGAGATTCTGCGAGAGCGGTCGAGCGCGACGTTGACCTGCGGACTCCGAATGTTGTCGCGATGGAGAAGTCGTCGGTGGACGAGTAGACGCGTATGGTTTGCGGCGACGTGCGCTGGGGCATCTGTGTGATAGGTCGCAGAGAACAAGAGAGGGCCCAAGGGCATCGTCGGGTGTCCAGGAGGTTGCAGCGGCGAGAGAAGCGCACATTCTGACAGCTAGCGTGCGCGATTGGTCCGAGTGCCCCTGCGGCGGAGACGGAGCAAAGCAGCCGGCGGAGCGGCGAACGTGGATTCGGAGTCGGTGCAGTTTCAGGTTGTGGGAGTTGATGGAGACGGGCCCGTGCCGCGTTCGTGATGTCGTAAATTCTGTGCGGCGCATGATGAACCAGTGTGTTCAATATTTCTTTTTCGGGTGTCGTTTCCCGGTTGTTTCACGTTTGGTGCGGGGGTGCCGGACATGCCTGGGTGGCCGGAACGTTTGCTTCAGCGACGTGGGCCAGCGGCGCGTCCCGTGGATCTCACAGTTTCGGCGCGAATGGTGGTTTGGGCTTACTGTGTCGTCTGTCTTGTTCCAGGGCGCCGTGAACGTGGCGCGATCCGTCCGCCTAGCGAGTTGTCGGATGGGCGGGCAGAAGCAACTCCAGTTTTCGCAGGGTGAGGTCGAGCTGGCGGCAGCGAGCACGCTCCATACATTGTGCGGCACGTGCATGGATCCGTTTATTGGGGGTCCGGGGTCGTTCGAAGGGGTATCTCAAAGCTGAAGCACATGCAGTCGCTGGGCCCGAAGGCTTTTGAATGCAGGGGGCAACGCCGCCGATCGCAAGGTTGAAGGCGCGAGCGACGCGCGGGCGCTCATGGGGTGCGACATCCATGCGGCTCGAATCGCATACGGAGTGCCGTTATTGTTTCCCACGGCGTCGGACGAGGTGCGCAATCCTGCAGTGGCGCGATGTCCGCGATCACCAAGAGAACGTGCCGCCATGTCCCGACGCCCTTTTTTTTGGGAACCGTCGCTGGGGCTTTTGTCAGATGCACCAGGATGTGTTTTGCTGATGGCCTTGCGCGGAGAGGCGCATGAGATGCTGTCCAAGTTGCCCTGATTGCGAGCGCGCTGACTTGCCCAGAAGCATCGCGACGGCGGTGGGCGGGTGTTCAGGTCGCGTGGACGGGGGGCGTGGGAGTATTGAGTCGCAGATGCTGGCAGGAGGCTTACATTTTGAACGCGCAGGTGTTCATTCACTGTTTGCGCCGACGCGCTCCGTAGCACCAGCGCGCCCCGTTGCGCGCGCTGGTGCAGCCCCCAATGGTTTTCTGGAACGACTAGTAGAAGAGTACAAAACATGCAAGAGAAGCGCCTGTCGCGTGGATTGCTCCGACGTGGGCGGGTGGATGGGGTAGGGACACGGCGGTGCAGGTGGCGTAGCCCGCGTGACATGAAGCGACGAAACGGGTTGCGGCGGCAGAGTGCATGCGCTGCGTCGCGATGAGTAGTGCGGGCGAGGCTGCTGGCGGTGAAAGCACAACCCCGTGCGGTTGAATCAGGAGCACGCGCTTGTCGGGTGAGTCAGTGGGCGGACAGACGGTCAGCCAGGACGGCCGTGCGTGGCTGGAAGAGTATCTGGGTGTCTTGGTGCTAGTGGGCCAGGAGTTTCGACATGGCCGCAATCGCCAATGGAGCAGCAGTGCAGGAGTTTTCCCGCGCACGTCATGGTCATAGACCGAGCGGTAGTGCTGTGCCAATGTTTTCT